TTTTCTTCTGTCATTTAATGGTCGGGCATTGTACAGCTACAAGCATTTCACCCCCATGTCATACTGTGTATGGTTGTGTGTGTGTGACAAATAAAATTTGAATTTGAAATTTGACTTTGTTCCAGTTTTGAATTTTGGCCAACTGTGTATTTGAGTTTGACACCCCTGCTCTAAATTGTCTGGGATGTCATTTTACTGAACGATACTTAACTTAAACGGAATAGTTTAACCCTGAATTGGTTTGGAAAAAACAAAAAAGATAAGAAAATACACACATTTTGGGGGTAAAATACAGCTAAAGATCCAATATTTAACCTCCAAGTTTTTACCAGCACACACATACCTGTTTTCTGCTTCCTTGCTCACTGTCTCTGATGATTTCCTTTTCCTGCCTCTTACCGGTCCCGCAGTCCCACTGTTTCAACAGAAAACAGTACAGTTAAAACAGTACACTACACTGTGTGGAGTAGTTTATTTTTATGATGAATGTGTGATGCCTTCAATGCAGTTACACTTAAACGTGATAAGAGTGTTAAGAGTAACCAGCACAACCTGCTGTTGCCTTCTTCCACTGTCGTTTTCTCCATCTGGGTCCCTGACGGTCTCTTCTTTTCAGGGTTTCCTGATGATGCCGCAGTCTTCTGGATATGTGTTAAACCGACAATGAAAAAGAACTCAGAGCTATAACATCTGTCTTTGTCAAAAATAAATAAACAATATTAAGAATACAGGTGAAAGCAGAAATATTCACTGGATACTCTGTTCTATGGTTGTGAGGAGAACCAGGCCCTTCTTTGGTGAAGGCAGCTTGGATCCTTCATTTAAATCCATCCGTAGTTCCAGGTTATAAGTTCACTGTGATTTTGAACCTGACACTACAGCTATCCTCTAAATTATCTGGGATGTCATTTTATTGAACATTACTTCAGTTAAATGCAATAGTTTCACCCTGAATTGTTTTGGAAAAAATTAAATAAAAAGAAAGATTAGTTTGCCTTCTCAAAATTTCAATCACCAGAACAGCGCATAGACATAGGCTGTAAATCACCACCACTCTCCTCCTAGATTTAGGAAACATGTTGATGTTCTGACAGGTTACAACATCTATTTAAAAAAAAATGCTTCTTTGAATTTGACTACCTTAGTAAAGTATAGGGCTGCCACGATTAGTCGACTAGTCACGATTACGTCGACTATCAAAATCGTCGACGACTAATTTAATAGTCGGCGCATGGTTTGAAGTGTTGCAAGATCCCAAAAGACGCAGGAATAAGTAGTAGGTTTTAAGAGTGTAATAACGGACTGAAACAGAAGATGGCAGCACTGCATGTACAAGGATGCCAGCTGCCGTTAAACCCCGAAGAAGAAGAAGCTGTGTCCAAATTCAAGAACCGCATCCTCCTGTGCCCGCATTAGTAGGCCAATTACAACAATGGCGGCAGCTGGTTAGTTTTAATATTACTCTTATTATTCTTTCTGGGTCACAAAATAAATGTTTAACATATTTTCAGGCGAGAATGTAGCTGTGTAAACCTCAAATATCTGTTCAGTTTATCAAGACCCCACATATTTTCAAAAGCGCTCCGACGCTTTTGGTGACGTCTGTTACTGTCACAAGAGCCGTTGAGAACACTGCACTCCCGGTGTTGTGCCAAAAAGTGATTGCCTGCCAAAAATTGATTTCCAATGTTTCTGTGTGGGTTTTTTTTATGTGTAATATCTTTACGTATGTTGGTAAATAGACTTCGGTGAACAGGGTTTACAAAGGGGTTATATATAGAATTAAAAAATTATCTGTTTTTCAAGTATCTTTACAACTCTGTGTTATTGTAGGCTACTTACATTATAAACAATCCGGTCCTTTATCCCCACTTAAAATATTTTTACAGAACTATTGTAATATTTGCTCCCATTTCTGTCCTCTTGGCCAACTTATTCTTACAAAAGACATTTTTAACCTCCTAAATCCTGGCGTCCACATATGTGGACATCACATTTTGGGTTATTTAGACCAAAATACTCAATTTTACTCTACAAGGGCCTGATATCCACTTATGAGGACATTATACTGCTACTGTTCTATCGAAATTTCAAACGAATATCCTCATATGTGGCTCTTATTTTTCTTGAAAACAAAAATAAGGTAAAAAAAATTAAAAAAATTAAAAAAAATTAAAAAAAAATCAAAAAAAAAAATCTGGTAATTCTTTGTTTTTACATTCATCGGGCCCAATATGCCCAAATATCAAAGAGAAATTAAAAATGCATGCCATGGAAGAGTTCGGGTCTTAGGAGGTTAATGTTAATATGATTTTTTTTTTAACTGCATAAATAAAGGTTATATAAAAGTCACTGCCAAAAACTGATTGCGGCTTCTACCTTGGTACACGAATGTTGTTTGTGGCTCAAGATGACTTTATGTCATGCATGAGGGATGCATTGACATATGTTTCACATATTAAAGCCCAACAAGTTACTTATAGCAGTTTAAATACAAGCAGTGACAATCAGAAGACAATCACTTTTTGGCAAATCGATGACGATTCATTCAACCAGTTCATTCTACCAGCAATCGAAGACTTTCTGACTTTTAATAAAAGCGTTGCAGAGACTTTTTTTTTTTTTTTTTTTTACTTGAATGGCTGGTCGCACCGGTGCGACCTAAGATTTTTTTTTCAGTCGCACCATTGAGAAATTAAATTAAATTACTCTAGAGCCCTGCTCAGTGTTTAGAGCAATGCAACTTACCCACCCTGACTAGGTTGAAAAGATTTGTAATTTACTCTTATTTAAGGTAGACACATGATTAAGCAACCCCCTTAATTTTTTTTTCTAATTTCCTTAATTTTTCTTTAACTTTCTGTTCTTGTGTTGGTATGATGTTTTACATATTTTAATTTGTTTTTTGTTTAACAAGAAAAGTTAAAATGGTTAACTTTTCTAATGTCATGTAAGATGCATATAATGTATAAAAGTTTGTATAGTCTCTTGATAAATAAAATAAAAAAAAGTACATTAAAAAACGTGCATCTCTCCAACTTTTGTTAGCAAAGAAGACTCCTTTCCAAATTCACCCAGGTTATCAGGTGTGA